TACTTAGAGCTCACTTTTATTTCACATTAACTGAATAAATTAAAATTTATTTATTTACCAATAATCGATTTAAATATACCAAATATTAAGAAGATTAATAATTAGTTATCACAATTACAATATTTTCAGAAAACCGTTAAAAATTAATATTTTTTTCTGGGAGAACCCGAAAATTCACATTAAGTTTGACAGTTATTTTGACAATTAAAAAAGTATCTTAAAAAGATTCTAAACCTATTTTTTGTATATTCTGTATATATTCTTTTTCGGTTTTTTTTCTTTCCCTAAAAGCCACTTATTCTTCTCCTATTTTATTTTCTATCATCTGCCTTAGCCTGAGTTACATTGACTTCTGTAAACTTTAAACGTCATCGGAAATAAACATGATGACTATCAAATTGAGGGATCGAAATTAGTTTTTTATGTATGAGATCAGGTTGTTTTCCCACTGCAGTATATCCTTTCAATCTGTAATCTATCACGGTGATCTTTCGCATTTTAATACATCTTCTACTTCTTCCGTGCTAATCTCTTCAGGTATTTGCTCTTCTTCGTTCCTTCTTTATTCAGTTATCCTTCAGCGTTTATAAATTTAATCTGGTTTAATAAAATTCACCTATGTAGTAAGCTTTCCATATTTTTAAGATATCTTTTTTTAATTCAATTTTAATATTCGCGATTGCCTCTTTTTCCTTCATAACCAGAACAGAATTGTCTGTTATGCGTTATGCATTTTTCTTTTATCTCGTTTCTGAATTCTCACCAGACTTTCTCTTTGGCTGTTTTTATTTTTTTTTACAATATTTTAAATTTTTATGCACTGTTCTATATCTCGTTAGTGTGTTATTATGATTTTTCCAAAACATAGAACAACATGAAGTCCTGATTCAAGGAGAGCCACCAACAATAATTAACATCGAAGAAACTAAAAAAGCTGTATCATTGTTGAAAAATGGATGTGCTCCGGGTCCAGAGGGGATATATGCAGAGTTAATAGAAAATGAAACCAACAAGCTATTCGAGATACGAATAGAAGTTTTCAATAGGCATTTGCACGGAGAACCAGTGCCACAAAGTTGGAAATAAGGATGGATTACATTTATCCATAAAAAAGGAAATAAGGAAGATTGCAATAACTATCGGAGTATAACTGTTACGAGCACGCTTAGTAGATTATATGAGATAATTATAAAAGAACGCATATGCGAAGAATACCGTCCCTTTAAATCAGAAGAATAAAACGGATTCAGAGCAGGACGATCCACAATAGATAGTATTTTCTGCTTATCCCAAATACTCGAGAAAAGAACACTAAGATCTCGAGAAGTGCATCTAGTTTTAGTAGATTTAACAAAAGCATATAACACCGTGCCTGTTGCGAAATTGTTGGAAGTATTGGAAAAAACCAGTATCAGCGTTCTACTAATCGACGCTATTAAAGATCTATATAACACTACAATATCAGAAGTTAAAATAGAAAATAAGGATTCTAATGGTTTTGAGGTAACAAAAGGACTGGAGCAAGGTTGTTGTTTATCTCCCATAGTATTCAATATATATATATATATATATATATATATATATATATATATATATATATATAATATATAATATATATATATATATATATATATATATATCGACGAAACACTCAGGCACTGGAAAAAAGAAGTGTAAAGGGATGGGGCTGTCTATTGGGGATGAAGCGTTATACACGTTGCATTATGCAGATGACCAGGTAGTTATTGCCCAAGACAAGGAAAACCTGAAGTATAATGTGTAGAAAACTAATGGAAGAGTACAAAAATGGGGCCTCAAAGTAAATTTACAAAAAAACGCAATATCTTTGCATAGGAGGAGAAAATAATGTAGATGATCTCGACTTAGAAGACAGGAAAATTAAGAAATGCGATCAATGTATATATTTGGGGGTAAAAATGACAAAGACAGGAAGAGCTGATGAAGCCATACAAGAGAGAATAACCAAAGGGAAACGAGTTATAGGTGCATTGAATTCAGTACTATGGCAGAAAAATATAAGTCCGGAAACGAAAAAAAGAATATAATAATACCAGTAATCGTCTATGGCTTAGAAGTATGGCAATCACAAAAACTTAAAGGTAACCTATTGGGAGTTGAAATGGATTTTCAGGCAGTTGAAATGAGGACATAAGGAATCAGATGAATGTACAAAGATCAATTATAGAAGACACCGAAAAACAATAACTAACATGGTACGGCATGTTAGACGTATGGGGGAAGAAAGACTACCAAAAAAAATATTAGAATAGAAAATACCAGAGAAAAAAAAATGAGGACGACCACCAACAACATAGATGCAAGGCATTTCAAGAGCAATGTTAGCAAGAAATCTATCTGAAGAAGACTGGCAGAATATACAGGATTGGCGAACGGGAACGCAAAGGCGGATTATGCTATGAACGGGAGATATATATATATACATATATATATATACATATATATATATATACATATATATATATATATATATATATATATGTTCGGAAAGATTTCCGCGGTTAGTACAATGAAACCTAGAGACTAATAAAGTTAGTACAAACTCACCAGTCTTCCGGGTTGAACCGCGTCGATATCCATTTTGCCGAGCTTTCGGCATCCTCTCTGATGATGCCTTCCTCAGGGCTTCCGAGGTCTCGGGAGGGCTCGGGAGACTGATATTAATCTTAGCTCTAGGTTTCATATATATATATATATATTATATATATATATATATATATATATAATATATATATATATATATATATATATATATATTCTTCGTGATTTAGATTTTTCTTATGTTTAATCAAGCCACATCCTTTAAATATAGGGCTAAGGGCTATTTTTTTTAACCTATTCTCTATCCTTCCATTGTTGGATATAGGTCTCCCCCAGTTCTCTCCATCTTTCCCTATCTTGAGCTGTTCTCTGCCATGTCTACATGGCAGAGAAAAGGGCTAAGGGCTATAAGCTGTATCTATAAAACTTTCTACATTTCTTTTCCATTATCGTTTCTTGTCCTCTAAGTTTTCTAAATAAGTCAGCCTTATATTTTTATCTTTAATTTTTTAATTGCCTTTTTATATTTTGTATTTCTCTCTAATTCTAAATTGCTTTTAAGACTTAAATAATAAATATTGTGTTCCTCTTTTATAACATGGAATATAAGATTTAGATGTGCCTACACTATTTAAATTTTTGTTTCAGAAATTTTTTTTCCGGTTCTTTCAGTTAGTAATTGTATATTGTAATTATGTACAAATATTGTAGCTGTACAAAAATAAAACAATGTTATCTTCCTTAAATCTAACATTTTAATAATATTTAACTGTTTCAAAATAAAAATATAATGTTACTAACCTACTGACAAGACATTAAAAGACAATGCATACTAATAACCAAGAATTTGTAAAAATACAGACCTTGAAATTTTAGGAATGTTGTTTTACCTACCGGTTAGTCTACATAATAAAAATAACGCATATATTACTACAAGTTCCGTATTATTGGTAAAATGTGTAATTATATGTTGTAATGTTATTCATAACGTAATAACATTTAAATGAGTCTGAATACGTATAAATACGTGTGTCAATCCGAGACACCAATCAGAAATTTTCCTAGAGTACAAACCATATTACGTAGTTTAATGAGTACTTTTGGTTAATTAAATCAGAAATTGTAACCACCGTTTTGGCTATGTGCATTTATATATTTAGAATAAGTTGTACGAAGAATTTCTTGTGAAGAAGAAATCTAAATTAGTTCGAAAGATGAATGCCAACTCTTGTGCGTCTTTAACACTGGCCAGAATAGTATAAGCCAGTGAGTAGTCAGTAGAGTGCGTGTAAATTTTGATGTTCTTCAGTGGTATCACTATGTCTTGCTTTAGTGGTATTATACCCCATGAATTCCTCAAATGTGAGCTCAGGTACCTCTTTGACTTGGGTTACTTCCACTTTTTCATCTACTTCGTGGTCTTCCTCGAATGTCGCCAGCTGGTTATGGTTTAGTATCATCGGTTTTCCCCTCTGCATCTTGCTTATTCAGTAAATGACATCGTTTATCTTCTCTCTAATAAGGTACGGACATTCCCAGAAATGCTTTCTTTGGATTATAGAACCAGCCTATGACTTTCTTCTTAAAACATCCCTTTTAGTCTTGGGTATCGTACCGTCTCTTCATTCAATCACTAGCGATCTGAAGATGGGAACAGACAAACTCGTGTATCTCGTTCATTCTTTCTTGTAATTCGTTCACATTATCTTCACCAGTTACATCTTCTCCAGGTCGAGATCAAAACTCTAGATCATAAGGTAGTCTGCTGGATACGGTCTTCTATAAAAAGAACCAACGTTTTTGTAGCCAACCCCCACCGATACTTAATCTTAAAATGGTATTCTTGAGTTCAAATGGCATGTTGTACTGCCACATTAGAGATTCTGTAGTGGAGTCTGTCTTTTCCTTATATATTTGGTCTATTTCTATCTGCTAGTATCCAGACTTTAAGTCCAAAGTAGAAAACAATTTACTTCCAGCCAATGTATCCAACGGGTCGTCGATCCAAGGAAGGGGATAAGTATGTTTCTTGGTTATACATTGTTTAATAAATGGTAGTCCACACCAAACCTCGTAGCTTCGTCTTTTTTGTTGACCAAGACCAACGAAGAGACCCATGAGCTATTAGAAGCTTATATCACCCAATCTTGAATGAATGTGATATATTTTTAGTGGCATTCGAAACTCTAAGATCTAAAAAAAGTAAATTGATCATAATGAGTTAATTGACTCTTATTCTTATTATGTTCCGCAGTGAACACAAAATGGCTAGTAATGATCATGATTCTATTCTAACCATTATAGCATATACTTTTAAACATGTGCTTGTGAGCATTATCAATTGGTATTATGTAAAAAACTTTTTTATAGGCGTATCTATTTTTCCTACACTATATTTATTGATTTCTTTTTTTTTTCAGGAAACTACAAAATGCAAGCCCCAACAGGAAGAGTCTGAACATGAAGACTCCTTACCAGTTCCACCAGATGGTGGATACGGGTGGGTGATAGTATTCGCTTCCTTCATATGCAACATGATGGTAGACGGCGTTACCTACTGCTTTGGAATTTTCCTTCCCGATCTGGTTACACACTATCATTCCACAGAAGCAAAAGTGGCTTGGGTAGGATCGATTTTAGCTGGTGTAACCATGTGTACTGGACCCATAGTCAGCGCTGTAACGAATAAATATGGGTGCCGAGTGTCTTGTATGGCCGGTGCAGTAATCGCTGCAACATCATTCGCTCTCTCCGTTTTCAGTCCATCCGTCGAAGTCCTGATGCTTATTTATGGAGCGGGAGGTGGCATAGGCTTCGGATTAATGTACGTACCGGCGGTCGTGTGTGTAGGATACTACTTTGAATCAAAAAGATCTTTAGCGACAGGTATGGCAGTGTGCGGGTCTGGTTTTGGAACAATCGTATTTGCGCCGTTTGGAAGGTTTCTTCTGGTCAATTACGGATGGAAGGGAGCTAATTTAGTGTTGGCTGCGTTATGCCTCACGTGCACTATTTTTGGATTCTTAATGAAACCTTTAGAATATAAAAAACCAGAAAGAACAGTTACTATGGTGTACCAAAATGGAACAGCAGATATCACCAATGATATGAAAAAGAGTTACACAAGTTTGGTAAGTAGTTTTTTTAAATAAGTGTAATATCATGTTTTTTTTTCAATAAAATATAATGTATTACGAACTTATGAACTTTATATAATATATCCATTATATCTTGCCGTTATGGAAAATGAAGAGATTTTGTAAGAGTTATTTGATAACCGCATATAGGATTAGTATAAACCGGATATGGGATTCTGTTCTGAATCTATGAGTAACGAGCTAGTAAATTACATGGACAATACATAATTCTGGTGGTTATAGTTTATTTTTATGAACGAGAGAGTAATTAGCATAATTTTAACTGGTACCTCCGACCACTCCATGGGCGTGCTCAAGATTAATTGAAAAATTACTTTGAATAATTGTAAAAAATAAATGAATTATTTCAGTGTTATAAAGTGTTATGTGTATGTAAACAAAAGTGACCTCTTTTATCACACACTATATTAGAACTGACTGGCCTACATTAAAAAGGGTTTTAAAAAATTCACATTTTTTTTAATTTTTATAAATTACAAAAGAGAAAAAGAGTTTTTAAAACCGTCTAAGGTATGTTAAATAGATGAATAAAAATATTAATATAAAACTTACAGCTACTTGTTACAAATCCAAATCAGATTCAGAAGATGAACTTTCAGAACCAAGATTTATAATAACTGGCTCGATCATTTTATCAGTAATATTGTCCAGCTTCCACATTTTTTCCTCTTCTTTAATAGTGTGATTTACTGCCTTTTCCCAGTTTTCAGGTTTTACATTATTTACGGCCTCCAAAAACAACTGTTTAACATCATGAATTTTAAAAGTGGTATTTTTTTCTTGAAACTTCACTCTTTATCTGTGCCCATACCAGTTCAATCGGGTTTAATTCACAATGATATGGTGGGGATCTAAGTACTGTCATTCCACGATTTTTGGCAATTTCATCAATTTCGTATTTTTTAAATTTTTCTTTATGAAGGGCACACAACGAATAAAGTTCCTTTCTTATAGATCCGGGATGGTACGTAATATTTTTTGAACTCAGCCAATTCTGCAAGTCTTTTTTTAACCACTTGGTTGTGGGCAGTCCTTCTATAAGTCTGGAGTGATAACTTGCATTATCCATTACTATTACACAGTTCTTAGGAAGAAGATCTATCATTTGTTCGAACCATTCTTGAAAGACATCAGCGTTCATGTCTTCATGGTAGTCACCGGTACGAGTTGATTCAAAAGTTAATAAACCACCTTCAACAAAACCGTCTGAACTGCCAATGTGTACTATTATCAGCCTGCGTCCCTTTCCTGATGGTGGGTTTAAACCAGTAGATAAGTTATTTACAAAAGCGTGCCTTTGACTTGTAACAGTTTCATCCTGCCAAAATTTATTTGGTGTATGACCCTCGTTGATCCATGTTTCATCAAGATAAAATATTTTTCTTTTTTGGTTTCTCATTTCCTTTATGGTTCTTAGAAAATGTCTTCTCCATATGACAATATCGCTTCTTTCTAATAAAATAGACTTTCTGGGATTCTTTTTCCAGCGGAAGCCTATTTCTTTTAAAAGTTTCCATAACGTACTTCGACTCATTTCTGGGTAATCCTTATCATCTCGAACTGAGACAAGAACTTTATCCAATGTTGGAAATTCTTGTCTAAAGAAGAATTCATGCACTTTCCGTCGAAGTCCTTCTTTAAAATGATATTCTATTTGAAATTTTGGTTTCCCTGGAGCATTACGTGGCATTTGAAAACTACCACATTTCTCTTCTTTAATAACTCTGTAAATCGTAGATTTCCCAACACCAAGTGTACTGCTAACTAACTCAACGGTCTCATCAACACTTTCACATAAACGTTTGTCTGTAAATGATTTAAAACAATTAAATATTAATGTTTTTTCATTAACTGTTAAAGGACCAATTTTTCGGCGTTTACACGGCACTTCCAAATTTTCCATAACACTAGTATACACAATAAACTGCACCTTGCAACTGAAGTACCTACTTTTAGTGAACTGTTAAGAATTTTGAATACGCCACTTGGACCTTCCTACAAAATGGAAAAACCCACTATCACATTTTCTGTGGAATAAGTTTAGAAGGTAATTATCTAGTCAATTACTGTCGTAGATTCCTGGAATTAAAGAATTAAATGTTTGATTGTTGAAACCCTTACTTCGTGGAATGCACTCATTTCAGATAAAATAAAACGTTTTATTTTATCTAAAGAATTAAACTTTATTTTGCAAATAGGTAGGTACTTATTAAACTTTTATTGGTTATATATAACCAATAAAATAAACATCTTACATTTCTTGCAAATTCATTAGTACCTGTTAACCTCCATCACTCCGACACTGGCAACCTTATTTAGGGATTAGTAACCCTCACAACTATTGTATTCTATTCTGCTCCAACCTTTATACCTGGTGGTCATACTCAATTTAAAATTGTTTTCCTATATACTTCTGTAAACTTGTTGACAAATATCTGTTTTTCATTGAGTCACCCGTATCAACAGTTTAGGGATTTGCATACATAATTTATTGTTTTATTACTCTCTCATACATAAAAATACACTATAATAAAAAACATATTTAAAATTTATTTTTGTAGAATTAAATAGCGAAGTTTAACAGAATAATTGAAATTTTACACGAGTTCAAAGATCAATAGAACTAATTAAAATTCCTAGATGATACATTTGTATAAATAATGGGAGACGGAATAAGAAATAATGTTTTAGCGAGTATGGGAGTCATATCCAGCTTTCTTCGGTCGGCAGGTTCAAACTCTGGTCACAAACCAAAAAGACTATATTTTGTCGTAATATAAATTTATAAATAAATCTGCTGCTTAGACTAGAATACGCTGTTGTATCGTAATCGATCTATGGATGAGAAGTACGGCACGAGATGTTGACTTGCTACTTGGAGTTCTTCAAGCTTAAAATCTACTGCTCCGTTTTTTCTTAAAAAATTTTCTTTTTAATTTAAAGAACTTATTCTCAGGATATATTAGCCCAAAGTAATCGAATTTTTCATAACAAATGGCTTATAAAGCTTAATTTTATCTGGGTAGTTCTTGAGGATCACTCCTGTCTTGATCTCATTAAAGAAGAATAATAACTTCCAGCATCACAATAACTGAAACTTGGAGCTGTACTCTTTTTTGAAATTTTTTCGTCAGGAGTACTTCTGGTATTAGTTATCCCACGAGAAATATTTGGAGCTTTCCGTGGTATTATGAATGACCTTACTAGTGTTAGCTATCTGCTCACTCATGTCTCTTAGCTTCTTTCTTTGAACTCCGGATAAGCATTAACTTAACTTATTTTCAGTTGTCTTAGGTTGCCTTATTTTCTATAAGATTATTTAACTCCAATTTGTGGTTTCTGTCCTGATGTTGTGGTGGCTGGTAACTTTTTCTTAATCCACTGAAAATCATTTCTAGAAGTAGTTTTGATTGGTTTTGGACTATGAAACCAATTTTATATCTCTTAAATAAAATTTCTACCTTACAAGTATACTTTTTTTATTTTTAATTATCTTCTCAACAATGCAAGGATATTAGCAAACGTATTTTTTTCACGAAAAATTTTTTATTATACTTATAATGTCGTCAAAATATCATCATGTAGAGGCCGCAAGGACCACTTTTGCACATATCTCATTCTTCGGGTACCATCTATAATCATTCTCCACTACTTGCTGACGACATGTTAAGATTTAGTTTCCTTTTGAATTTGCACCAGTAGTGACCTATACCAGAAACCCGTCATCGTAATTACTTGGAACACAATATTGAAACTAGTAAGGAAAATGGCATTTTTTCTATATAATATCTCTGTTATAGAAAATAAAACGTAATTTAAGAAGATAAATACAACGATAAAATGTTCTTGTGTTAATGAATGGACTTTCTCTTAAACAAACCATTCGGTATCCATGAATCTAAAAACGAATTAACTACTACATCATTATATTTAGAATCTTTGGATTTTGTACTCTTTGATCTGTTATCTCTGTTGACTCTATTCTGCCTATATGTTCCATTTTAAACACTTGTTACTACTATTACATTACAAGTCTGTTACTACTGTACATTACAAAGTCTGTTACTACTGTTTTTTTTTGTAATATTGTATCATATGTGACCATACTCTTTACTTTACTTTTTAATCATCTTACTGCTTTTATACTCTCTGCATACTCTATTGTATTTTGTGTGTCGTCAGTTTCTTTTACGTGCTTTCTTCTTCTTCTTCTTCTTCTTCTGGTGCACTCCATTACTGCAGGTTTGCGATCACTACATTAAAATGTTCTCCATTCTAATTGTTGAACTTTCATACCCGTCTCCATTAGATTAGATTAGATTAAGAGAGGTGGCCTTTCAGTCTATTCCACTGCGACCTTTTCAGATCAATAGTGGTCCTCTAGACCTAGATAACATTCTCTAGCCTGACCCTTTTTATAAAGTCTAGTAGCCTCGAGACTGTACCTTCCATGTAGCTATTTGTCGGTGGATTTTCTTCTCCTAATGCAAAAACCGCACATTTGCCAGACTGTCACACTGACATAAAATGTGCTCTGCTGTTTCTTCTTCGAGATGACAGAATCTGCACAGGTCATCATCTGATAATTCCATCAGCTTCAAGTGCCTATTCAGCTTACAGTGCCTTGTTAGAAGAACCTACTATGGCTTTGACTGTTTTCCTGTCTTTGCTAATTAGATCTGCCGTAAATTTTGGCGAATGTTCTGTAATGAACTGTTTCGCCTGTCTTTGTCCTGGTGAATTCCTCCACCATTCCAGAGATTTGTGAGCTACCCACTTCTTTGTAGCCGTTCTTGTTACTGACTTTGCAACGCCGCAGAAGGGTTCCGGTTCAATTAATGGCATTGATGAGCCTTGTTTGGCCATTTCATCTACTTTTTCATTGCCCTTATGACCCTCGTGCCCCGGTACCCAGGCTACCGTAACCTTGCTACGGTCTCCTAGTTTATTTAGGGCACACACGCAATCCCATA